AATTAGCAAATAATTAATAAATAACCAATAAATAATTATTTCAAATTTTATATTTTTTATATTTTTAATAAATTTATTATGTATTAATTAAATTTTGTCGAATATTATTATAAATACAATTTTTTTATTAAAAATATACAATTTAATTTTATTAAAATATATAATGCTAAATGATTTTGTCAACTTTATAGTTAAATAATAATAATTTATTCTGAATGCTATAATTTTTATTACAGAATATTATAACTTTATTGCTAAATATTTTTTAACTAAAATATTTTTTTGCTAAAGGATTTTATTGCCAAATAATTATATTTTTGTTAAATATTATATTTTTTTTTGTCAAATTATTGTGTATTTTTTAAGTAAGTATTAAATAATATAAATTGAACCAAATAACAAAACTTTGGTATGAACTTTTATTAATAAATTTGAATTTAATTAGCTATAATTTAGCAGCTGAATAATTTAATTTGAACTAGTATATAATATTATAATAAAACTTGATACCATATTACATATCTTTTTATATGAATTGATAAATAACAACATATAGTATTTCTGTTTTAGATTGGGTTTCACAAAGTCTAAACTTGAATTCAATTGAACACTTGTGAGATTATCTTTATTATTAGATTTGAAAAAAAAACTTTTTATTTAAATTAAAACAAGATTTAATTAGAGTTGCATGAGAAGAATAGAAAAATATTTTTATAGAAACTTTATATCATCTAATTTTAAGTATTCTAAAGTATATTAAAAATATTATTAAGGTTAAAGAAAAATATATTAAATATTGGTTTCTATCTTTGAAATTTTTTTATTAAAAATAAAATATGTTTTTTTTGATACTATAGAAATTTTTTTTGTTATTAAATAAAATAAAATTCTTTATTTGAATTTTAAGAATCATTATTTTTTTCATTATTATTTATCACATGATAATTTCTGGTAATTTATGTTAGGGATGTGTATATGCTAATAATTTATAAATTATTATTTATATACAGTACATTGGTTGAAAATTTCTGGTATTATACAAGTTATAAAATTTTATTGTATTTAAAATTAAATGTTATAATTTATTATAAATCTTAATTATCAATTTGTAAAACAAAAAGTTAAATTTTTAGAAATTATTTTTTTTTTTAACGATTTTTTTTAACTTTATGATTTTTTAAAAATGTCATAGATCATATTTTTTCCTGCACAATATTTTGAACCAGGAAATTTTGCTTAAAGTAATCAAGTGTTTTTTAACTGTTACAAATAGAAAAGAATATAAATATTTCTAGACTAAAAAATTCGTGACGTCTGTCGATAGTTACTTATAAAAACGTATTTATAACATGACATTATTTTTAAATACAAATAATTAGCGAATTTATTAAATAACGATATAAATATAAGAAAAGCTTTTAAATTAAATTCCTCTTGAGTGTTTAATTACACTATATAAATTTTTCGAGAATCGCATATAGCAAGGTTTATGACAGAAATAATTGTTTATATTCCGCTATTAAAAACAAGTTCCGTGTTATTTATATTATTTTGTGGTTGGCGAATGTTCGCTTTCCTCATTTTTTTCAGTACGGGTTGAATATGTCTCATTAAGACCTGAGTACTAGTTATATTTTCTCGGAGTGAATTGAAAGATGATTCCCTATAATAATAAAAAAAAATTGAGGAAAACAGATTTTTGTTTATAATTAATGGGTCTATTAATACCTAATTAAAACATCCAAATCTGCACCACTAAATCCTTCGCTTTCTTCAGCCAAGTTATCCAAATCGACATCTTGACCAAATGGAACTCGCAGTGAAATGACCTTTAATATATCAGTTCGTTCATCCTTATTTGGTAGTCCCACGTATAATGATTGATCAATTCGACCT